ATTTAACTATTTTATAGCATATTGGTTTTAAATATATATTTTTAGAAATAAAAATGAAAAAATACAATTATAATGTTTCAAGAAAGAAAGAAAAAAACTTATATTTCAAACATATATGTATTAGCTTTTTATTCTTTGTAATCAATACAAGTGATTAATTCAAATTTACTAATAATAATAAATTTTATAATTATTCATTATTATTTTTGGATTTCATAATATTCTAGCAATTATTCTTGGATGTTAGTAAATTTCAAAAGTTTTTGTACAAGACATGGTTGGATCAAATATATTGCAACTATATATTCTTGGATGTTAAAATTAATAATTTTTGGAAGTTTTTTAATAAAAGTATAATTTTATATTATTACTTCATTCTATTTAAAAGATTTGATAAATTATCAATATAAATTTTTAAATTGATGCTTAAAAAAAGCCAAATTATTTTTCACTTAAATAGTTGATTTAGAAAGTTTTAGTGAGTTTCTATTTCTTTTTTCTTATTTTTTCTTTTTTAAAAAAAATCTAAAATGGATAGATAAAATAAAAAAATAAAGTCTTTATTATTTTTATAATAAAATAAATATAATCTTGTAGCACAAATTGTAAATAAATGTCTTCAAATTGAATAATACGAAAGTAGGTACTAAGTATATAATAAAAATTATTATTAATAATAATATATATATGCTAAAATCTTGATATTTTAAATAAATTTTTTAATTATTTTATTTTAAATATTATAGGATGAATGTTGTATGCTTAAAGTTAATATTGCTATTTTTAAAAATAAAGTTTTAAAGTATTAACAGTATAAAAAAGAAATGATAATTTAGTTTATAATTTTTTTTAAAAACATTCAATTTTATGTAAATTATTTCTCTCTCTCTCTCTCTCTCTCTATATATATATATATATATATATATAATTTTGTATAGCAATGTAATTAGTGGCTATAAGGATATACCATTATCTTTTTACATTAAAACAATAAAAGATCTATAATGTTTAAGTTTAATTTTAATAACACTTTGCCTAATATAGATGATAGATCAGATTTGATTTTTATGCAGTACTTGTAAACATATGTTTTTATTTCAAAATGATTCTATATCAAAAAATAAAATAAAATAAAAATAAAAATATAACTAAAATAGTTAATTTTGATATTTTATTTTTTTAAATAAGTAGTTTTTCATAATATTTTTAATTAAAAAATTCTTAAATAGATTTTTAGTTATTGATTCTATTCAGAAAGGTTTATACATTTTAAAAAAGAAAACAATAATAATAATAATAATAATAATAAGAGCAATAAAAAAAACTTATCTTTAAACTTTTGAAAACTTTATCTAAACTTGACTTCAATTAAATTTTGTTATAAAATGTAAATTACATAATAATAGAAGTTGAACAAAATAAAACTTTGTTAAAAATGACAAAGTCAAGAAACTCCACTGAAATTAGTGTGAGATTGATACAATAGACATTTTTCCATCTTTGCAAACATCTAATTTTTCTACTTTTTACAAGACAAGACATAAATTTAGAAGTGATCGATAAAAGAATTTTAATATGGAGAGGTAATTTGATTTCTAATCAGATGGTTTGTTCAACAATCTGTCAATTCTCTTCTTAGTTAATTTCAACTACAAGCCTGGCAAATATATATAGAATTCTATTGCAATCAATTTATTCTAAAATAAAAACAAAAATTGCAACTTTATTGGTTTTAATATATAACAAGTTTTGATTATAAATTTTAAATCTTCTAATGTTTAAATATAAAATACATAAACGAAATATTTCAATTCAAATACATAAATATTTTAATATTTTGATTCAAATTTATTTCGATTCATATATATATATATATATATATATATAATTTTTTTAATACAAATGTAATTTAAATCAAAATATTTCTTTGAAAATAAAGTCTTGTATATTATATCATATTATTATTAATGATTATGAACATGAAAATCAATTGGATTCTTACAAGTAAACTTAAATATATATTTAGTTTCAACTAAAGATAGTATTTTACTTCACTCAAAAATTGATTTTATATTAAAAGTAGTTTAAAATAATAATAATTAAGAAAATACTATATTTGCATGAACAAAAGAATTGAAGACTGAGATAATATAGAGCCATAGATTACAAAATAGATAAGGATTTCTCAAATGTTTGTATCAAAGGATCATAAATTAAAAAATATTACTTAAAATAAATATAAGATATTTTTTCAAAATAAATATTTGAAAAGAAATGTATTCACCTAAAAATTATTTTTTTTAAAATTAAAATTTAAAATATATTTTTTATGACTATAATAATTTCATTTACAATATTGTATTTTAATTTCATTTACAATGTTGTATTTTAGTTTGGCTACAAAGTAAAAGAGAAAGAGAAAGAATATATTAGAATATAGATTTATTAAAAATATAGTATCAAATTAATTTTAAAAAATAGGTAAAATTAAGGAGGTAGTAAAAATAATTTAGTATTAATGTTGTCTTTTTGTTAAAATGGCTTCTACTTACTTTCTAGGATAATAAACAAGATAAATATATATATATATATATATATATATATATATATGTTGACAAAAAAAATATTATTGTGGGCATCCTTAAGTGAAAAAAGAATAATTTTATACAAACATTACTTAAATGATCCTTGCATCAATAGCAGGAGAGAACTAATGTTGTGTTGTATCACAACTATTGGATAAATGAGAGAAAAAAGTATTATATTATAAATAAATATATATTGAAAGATACCTTATAAATATGAATAAAAAATAAGGAGGTAGTACAACTAATTAATTCTAATGTTGTTTTTCTATAAAATGACTTACATTTATTTTGTAAGATCATTAATTACAAAAAAAATAAGGCAAATTAATAAATATGGTATTAAAGATATCTCTAGATAGAAGTGAAGAATAGAAATTATCAAGAATTACTTAGATAAATCTTAGATTAATACCTATAGAAGGCAACTCATGCACCATGATCAAAACCACATTTTTAGGCACAAAACCGCACATCTACAATAGATGACAGTTTTTATTGTTGATCAAATTGTGGAATTTTAAAGCAAACTTGATGAGGTTTCTATAAATATTGGCTTTAAGAGATTTAAGTGCAAATTGAATTTGTGAGAGCTTTGCAAAGTTTAGATTGATTTTATTTCATGTTGAATAAAAAAGAAGTTATATTTGGATAAATTGTATGAGTTTTGTAGCAAATCTATAAGTGAAAATTTGTGGGTTTTAGAATATAGTTATCTTAAATATGGATTGTAAATTTAAGCTTAATTAAAATTTTAAATCAAAATTAATTGAGATTCAAGTGAATTAAGGTCTTAGAAATTAAGTTTTGAAGGTCATTTAGGGTTTCTTAGATTTTTAAAAAAAAAAAAATACCAATCAGATTAGAAATTTTCTTTTATATACTTATGGTTGACTAATGTTTTTATATCTATATAAATATTAAGAACAAGATAACGGTTCAAAAAGGAGATCTTAAAGCTAGAAGATTTACATTGAGGTTGGAGAAGAAAGACAATCAACATTCAAGCAGATTTTGAGTCATTTCTCTCAATCTATATATTAGATTTTTTTTTTTTTTTTGAAACTTTGTATGCTTTTTATTAAGTAATAAATTGAGATGTGTAAAAAAATTGAATTGATCTAGAATTATTTGTGATTTCCTTAGGATTTAATTAGGGTTTGTTTTACAAAATTTTGTAAGGTTTATTCAAAGTTGAATATAGTGTAGTAAGTTTGTTTAAGTTATTTAAGATTTTCAAAGTATTTCTAAACACCTTATAGATTTATTTATTTATTTATTTTTAAATCCAACTTTAATATAAGATCAAAACCATCTACAACAAAATGCCTAAAGCATTTCCAAGCTAATTTCACATAATACAACGTTGAGTGCAAATGAGATCAAAACTAAAACTAAACCTTGAGGCATAAAACCATGCACCTATGGCAAATGGAATCTTCTTTTGTTGATTGTAAAGTGGTTTTAGAGAGCAAAATTAATAAGAATTTCTTAGAATGTTAATTTTGAAGGATTTAAGTGCATAATAACTTTGTTAGAGCTTGGGAAACTTTGGGTTGTTTTAAGCGACTTTTTTATGTATATAATAAAAAAGAGGTTACATTTTGATAAATTGTATAAGTTTTGCATTAGATCTATAAATTAAAATTTATGTTTTTTTAAATGTAGTTGTAGTATACATAGTAAAATTAAACTAAATTAAATGATTTACTTAAGATTTGATTAAGATTTGATTAAGATTCAATTAGAATTTACTTAAGATTTCTTTAATGTTGGTTTGGATTTGGTTAAAAATTTTGAAGAATTCTTTAGGATTTCTTTAAGATTTCTTTAGTGTTGATTAGAGATTTTTTAAGGTTTAATTGGAATTGTTAAAGATTGTGTGAGGTTCATTTGGGATTGATTAGAATGTGATAAGATATTTCTAAGGATAATTATGGATGCTTAGCATTATTAAAAACTTACTTAAATTGTTCAAGAGTGCTAAAAAAAATATTTTTGAACATTTAATGCATAGTTTTTGGATAATAAAATCAAAATTCTAGATAAAATGAAAGCCTTTCACAACCAAATGCCTAATGCATTTCCAAATCGATTTTCACATAATACAACAAGAAGTAACTTCTAATAATTTCTCAAAATTTGATTCCATTTGTTACATTTTTAGAATATCCAAATTTTATTTAATTTCAAGAAGAATGAGATGATTCTGTATTAATTGTTTGAAAAGTAAAGTTGAAAAATCACAATTAAACACTTAGTTGTACTTGTTAATATGAAAATAACAACACTGAAGTTAGGATGATGTAGGATTTGAACTCAATACATTTATCAATGGTGCAAGTGTATGTCTGAAAGTATGTGTGTGCATACATGACAACATTAATCTGAAAAATTGCACACAATTTTGCAAGGTTTTCTAAAATTTACGTTGTTATTATGATTCAAAAAATATAAGATTAGAAAAAGAATAATTACTCCACAAATTTTGTTTTCTCCTTGACCTATTACCGTGCCCATGGGCTGACAGTAGCCTGTCGGTGGAGCTGCTGGGGAGAAAAACAAGACTGTTATGTAATCCTCCTCCTCCCCACAGAGTTTGTTTCAACACATCGACTTCTAAGCTTCGGCTTTGGAAAACTCATCTGTTCAGCGAGGCTAGCAAATGCTCAGTCAGGGGAACACAAAAGTGTGTACAGATTGCACAAAGGTGTTGGGGGTCTTTATCAGATGCATGGCGTTGGAATAGGAAAATATTCAACAGCAAGCAAACAAGATGGAGCTCTGTAGACAAAAAAAGGCATGGAGATCCCCATCTGTTTGATGTGACGAAAACACAAATACCAGTGAAAGAAGGGTTCGCCTGCCCTGTTCGAGAAAAGAAAGAAAGAAAGAAAGAAAACAGACAAACCTACTGCAGACGTTGAGCCAAAGGTCGAACACTGATGTCGTACATCCCAACAGAACCTCTCGGATCATAAAGACGACGGCCTCACAGAGATTCGTGACACTTGAACACAACCAGCTCAACCATGTGAAATGGGAGCTCACTTCCAGTGTTCTGAATGCTTAGTTAGAAAGACACAAGTGCGCTGGTTGAGATCTTCCAGTGATTTCCACTGAGAAGAAAGCGAAGATGCAACGAATGGAGGGTTGAGCGGAATGGCGGACGTCGATAACGTTTAATTGGAATGCCTCCTCCAATGCGAATATGTTGCAAGAAACTGTCTGTCAGTGGGAAATGCCCTCCCTTCCGCGACAAGGAAGAATGATTACCGTTAATGACATGAGTCGAGAACTTCAAAACCAAACGGTATGCAGTTCCACCCCCCTGCATTAATCTTCTGGTTCCTAAAAACGCAAGTGAGTTGCGTAGCGCGGTGTCATCACAGAGAAAAACGACAGCCTGCACCAAGAAATGAAATTCAACGTGGTGCAGCTGGAATCAGTGGACCGTTCCTCTACTCCGAACTTCGCAGTTCCACTTTTATCAGCTCAAAGTCTGATACTATCGGGATTCTAACGTGAAATCTTCGGGAGAATCATAAGAAAAGTTCATACACCTTTTTACTTTCGAAATTGAAAGGTGTAAACTTCCAAACCATACCTTTCAATGTTGCCCTGGACTTCGAGACTTCATAAGCGAAAATCAGAAGGACGAGCAATAACAACTCCGCTTCCAACCCCCGTTACGACCCCTCCATTTCCTGGGCTCCACCACACTTAGGTGCGAGCTCCGCCTAATTCTTCAATTCCAACACGCGAACCCAATCCTGCTCTGAATAATCATCCCCCATGCTTTCACGCACTGTTCCTACGCAACGCGAGCGACAGCTTCCTCCAGCTCCTGCTCCTCCTCCGCTTCGCACAGGCTCACCTGCAATCCTTCCTTACAGCTCTGGGATACTTCCGCAACTCTAATCGTCGACTTTCAGCTTTCAGGAATTGGTCTGACAAGGTGCAGGCTTCGGACACTGAAGCACATGGGGACGCTGCACAGTGGCTCCGGAGACAACGGGGCTCTTTCTTTCAAGGCTGCCTCGATCCTCCAACGTACCTGTGCTGGTGGTACACACGAGACCTGGTCACATATCATCCTGACTGCAGTGTCCGTGCTGCGGCGTTGGATCCCCCAGTCTCTCCCCTCCCTCCCTGTCCTTCCCATCCCCGCCCCGCCTCGCACCGCCTTCATTTCACAATTAGGGTTGCATCTTTGCTGTGCACAATAATCTCGGTTTCATAATCTCGACCACCTTTACCCTTAAAAGACGGCGACGGCGACGGCGACGATGAAGACGACGCAACCTTCGTCCCCGTCACAGTCCAGGTTCTCCGACGTGGCATGCCACATCTTCGTTTTTATTTTTTTCTTCTTCTGTCAAGCCGTTCATGAAGGAGTTTTTCAAGGGGTGATTTTGTATGTTGGGAGGTGGGGGTTTTTTTAGGAGATCCAAAATTGCAAGGAAAATTTATGCTTGGGAAAAATTTCACCTCTTGGCCTTTATTAATGTTTCCTAAGATGGACAATGTGTTTGTTGTTGTTGTACTATCACACAAAGTGGCCATTCTATGTACTTGTTTGTTTCTTTGGATGTGGAATGTGGTCATATTGCAAGTTAAACATATTTGCATTGAAGATGTATTTTTCAACAACTGGAGGTGTGTCAAAGAATAAATCAAATAACCACCTATCATTGAAAATATGTTTTTAAAAATAAGTTGTTTGTTTGTTTGTTTGTTTGTTTGTTTTTTTTTTTTCATTTAAAGATTCATGGTAATATATAATTGGATTGTTAATGAAAAATAGTTTGTTGTGTTTCAATTTTGGGTCTAGCATCATCTTCTACATTCTTCCATGCATTTTGCTTTATCCACTTAAATTGTTAAAAAAATAACCATAATACCAACATCCTGTGAAATACTATAAACAATAGTATTGATCATGAGATACAAATGTTAAATTTTATTTGCTGATTTCATTCAAAGTGGATTATATAGATAAAATATATATATACATATATGCACACACATACATGATGTTAGCACTTGTGAACCTTGTGACATGATATGGTGCAAATAATATAAAAAAATAAAAAATAAAAAGATTGGTTGCAAATCATTGCTGAATAAATAAATCCATTCAATGCACACTATACAAGGAATATACATCAACATGGGACTGTCTATTTCTGGAACATCTCCTCCCTTATTATATTAATACTGTTATTATCATGTGCAACACTAAAAGTTGTGGTTACAGCATACTAGAGCACTGTGAAGACAGTGATCACAGACCATCATGTGAATGATTGAAATACAACAGTAAATCAAATATATATATATATATATATATATATATATATATAATAAATGTAAAAATGTAGAAAGTTGGTAAAAAAATTATAAAAAAAAAATCATCTCTTGGGCAGGTGGAAGTGCCCGCAGACCTAAGCTTCTCATACCTCAATGGATCCAATGTACTTCCCAAAAAAATATTGATTCAATTGTTTTTACTAATGAGGAGATTGTTGTCCTTTCTCTTTGCTCTCTCACACACATGTGGGTAACTAACTAACTCTGGCACATGTCACACAATGCTTCTATGACTGCTACTAAGAAAGCAAAGTAAGCCTATCATACAGGCTAAATTCATTGTGTGGAATTTGCCCAAAGGCTTCCCCCATCTGTTAAAAAAACCAGAGCTTTTGCTAATATATATATATATATATATATTTATGTTTATATCTGTGAGTGTGTATATGTATGTATGTTTGTGTGTGGCATCATTGTGTCCTAAACCCAACTCACAGCCAGCACATTTACTGCTCTCTTACATGTATTGGTAATATATTACAGAAAATAAAATTTATCAAACAGTAAAATAAAAAGAAGGTGCAGTTTTTTTTTGTTCAAAGTGTGTGAGGAAGTTATGAAAAAAGTTTTGAGAGTTGAGTGTATGTATATATCTGTAAACATAACAATACTAATCATTATAATACAGTGGCATAGAAGGTAGATCATTTTGTGGCAGTGTGGTTTTGAATGTTAGGTTGGCAACAATACAAACATTCATGGAAAATAAAGAATTACATAAATAAATATTTTCTGTACCTTTCTTCCAACACCTTTCAGTTCAAAAAAATGATCTTTAATATATTTCCATTAAAAAGAAACAAAGGAAAAAAAACACTAAAATAAAACAAAGAGAAAAAAGGAAATGTGGCACATGATTCAATAACCACATATTTATCGTCAACCCACATAGGAACAATATCAACTGGGTATCATAGTATGGTTTGATGAGATTGAATGCCAACTTCTCATTGGCAAAAATAAAATATTCTGAAAATAATAATAAACCAATTAATTTATTAAAATTATAGAATCAGCCATGAATAATGCAGTACTCATGTGGCCCACAAGGGGGAAAAAAAAAACTAATAACAATATCAATTGAAAGTAGACATTTGTACATATGATTTCCTGTGAAAGCCATCAAATTTTATCCCATCCACATCAGTTGAAGTGTTAACAAGTACAACAAAGCTACAGCCATTGTCTCACTCTCTTTCATGGTTTCAAAAAGCTATGCTATTGGGTAGCCTACAAAAAAGCAATTAAAATAATAAAAAAAAGGTATCTAAATTTATGAAAAATGTACTGCTTGTTTTCTGTGCATTTGCCAATAAGGACATGCCACAAGCATACCAACACCCACCTGACCATGGACAGCCTGCATATTGACAAACATTAGAAGGAAGAAAGATAATAAATCCAAAGAAAAGATTCTTACGTCTTCGGATGTTGTTACTGGCTCAATTCACTCACTCACATACTCACTCACAATCAGACCTGGAAAGTAAGAGAAAGAGAGAGAGAGAGAGAGAGCAAAGAGACCGCCTGCCCCTGCTGCCCAACATGGTTAGTATGGCCCCCACAGTGAGGCTTTCTTCCATGTAGCCATGGAAAGAGAGTACTTTCTCACTGCCCATGTGTACCTCTCTATAGCATTCACAATTGGAACCAAACAATATGGCAGGTCTCACGTCACCCTTCCTGTCTTACATTTAATTATCTACTCTGCATTACGTGCATCAATATCCACCACCATTAAAAATCACTTACTTGGTTTCAATGTACTTCTAGCAGGATATGTGCATATGTGTGTACATATAATATTAAACTTAACATTATAAAAAGAGTTAATAGAAATGCAATGGTAGCCAGTTTATCTTTTGAAATTTTGATTTTGGTTATCAATTGGAGTATGGATTTGTGTGTACAGAAAATGTTTCCTAATGAAGAAAATATTATATTGGTTCAACTATATATAGGGAATTGTTAATTCAACCCAAGCTTTTACTAAATTTACCCACCCTTTCTAACCATCATCAAAAAATTCTCCACTATTAGAGCCACAACCAATGAAAAGAGGACCTCAAGAATTTCTGTGCAGATGTATGATGATCTATGGGTCAATATAGTATATGCCTGAGTTGATTTAACAATTCCCTATGTATATATATATATATATACATACTTTGGAAATATATATATATATATATATATATTTCCAAAATAGTGAATCTTTTTTTTAAAGATATATTCAAATTGAAGTAGAATAGTTGGGATGTGCATATTCTTTAAACAAAAAATCTTAGCATGATTTGCAAAAATGTTATATACATACATATATATATATATATATATATATAGATAAGTAAAGGATCCCATATGTATGTATGTATGTACGTTTGTACACACACACACACATCTATATATATATATATATATATATATGTTGGAAGTGTGGAAGATATGAAAAAAATAGTACAAGATAACTGTTAAATCAACAGCATTCATGAATAAAATGACATTGCAAGTTTGAAAAGATGAGCGACAAAGTAAGGCTCACAAAGAGACTTGCTATGATGTAACAAGTCCAATGCAAATAGTTTTTTAGATAAATAAAATAAGACACAATTTTTAAAAAGAAACTTTAGAAGTCATGTGGTACTCATAAATTTAATGTATCCTAGATTTTTTTTTTTTTTTTTTTTTTTTTACAAACTTTCCCAACCATTCTGAGAAATTTTAAAATTTTAATTTTTATTATGAAGATCCATCATTTATTTTTAAAATCCCGTTATTTTTTTAAAATAAAATAAAATTGCGAGTGAAATGTTTATGCACCACAAAAGGTTCAAGTGAGGCGATTTTATCAACGTGAGGCCCCTCCGCATCCAATGAAAGCCCGCCCAATTTCCACGAAAGCAGGAAGGATCCGGATCTGACCATATACTGTCAGTCTTAGTACCAACGGACAAAAAGTTTCCCCTGCCCCTGCCCATCACCTCCCCTCTGACCGCCGGGCAGCCCGACGGCATCCAGGGCACACAAAGTGCGACCTAAGGTGGGGACGGTTCACACAACCCCAACAGAGGCCGAAACGAAGGCTGACGTGGTATTGAGACCTCGTAAAGGATGCCCGGTGGGAAAAGGACCTAGTGGCCATTGATTACCGACTGGAGCATGGGCTTGCAGTGGGGCTGGCTGCAGTAAAGAGGAAGCAGCAAACCCTCATGGCCTGTTGCTGCGCCTCAAGGAATGAACGAAGGAGGCCGATGAAGGAGAAGGAGGAGATGCAGAAGGAGGAGCAGAAGACGGCGACGACGACATCAGCATCGACGACGACGACGACGAAGACGCCACAGACGGAGACGAAGACGAAGACGTTCGTGGCGGTGGCTACAAGCAGGGACGGGGAAGGGGCCAAATCATCAAGACTGTAGGCAGGGAGAGAGGGAGAGAGAGAGAGAGAGAGAGCGAGAGCGAGAGGTTAGAACGATGAGCAGGCTCACGAAGCCGATCATGTACATGACGTCGGGGTCTCGGGGGCTCCGTGGCTGGGGTTAGAGAATGGAGCATTGCTACCGCTGCACTTTCTTCTTGGAGGAGGAGACAAAAAACGGGACCCGCTCTCCCTACGATCAGTCGTGTAGTAGTTGTTGGTGCTGTAGTAGTAGTTTAGTTGTTGCTTGCAGTATTACCGTTCGTGAGTGGCGGGGTGCTGTGTGGTAATGAGATGCGCCAGCCGATGTCATGGTGAGGGGTCTGAGTGGTCGTCTTCGTACCGTGGAGTGTAGTGGAGCGGTGCGGTGGTGGTGGTGCGGCGCAGGTTTGAAGTGGGAGTTGGAGTAGTGTGCGTTGTGTTTTTTTGTTCTTGATGTTTTAGCTGTTGAATAATCGGCTTTTTTTTTTTTTTTTTTTTTTTTTTTTTTTCTCTCTTCCGCTGCATCCTCCTCTTCTCTTTCTTCTCTGTGTAGCGGAGTTGCGTGGAGTGGAGTTAGGAGGACAAGTTAAGCCTCGGGGCGGTGCATTTCATCCTGCCTGCAGGTTACAGGCAATGGGAGGAGCGAAGTTGTTAGGGGCATTGTTGCGTAGTTGTTTTCGTTTTACGGAACTATTTTTCTAATCCAAGGGTGCGAGGTCGTGAGAATTATATTTGGTTTCTCAGGCAGTGATATGGTGGGAAGAGGACTTTGACTAGAGTCAAGAGCCAGTGCCATGGCTCAAAGAGTGCGAAACGGGAAATGTTCAGTGGAGGTTGTTAAAGTATTTAACACAATTGTGTCGCTGTTGCAATCACGTAAGGAACGCCGAGAGGATGTGGTGCAATACAGACGTGCGAGGAACAGTGTGTGGACGTGAGATGTGCCACTGCGCGAAGACTTGATTCTGGTTTTTTGGAATAGATAGAGCTTGGTTCCTTGGGTCCCTGCCGCTGGCGCTCTGCCTTTGCACGGCGTACACTTTCTGCAAATTAGGAAGCTACGAGGCTGATGATAGGAGAGTTTCTGGTGATTTTGGAGCTGTTTTGGTGGAGGTGACCAAGGCATCGATAATGGATATGTCTTCGGACGTTGGTTTGGACGGGGGAGCTCTTAAAAAAGGTCCATGGACATCTGCTGAAGATTCGATTCTAATTTCATATGTGACAAAGCATGGAGAGGGTAACTGGAATTCCGTGCAAAAACACTCTGGTTTGTTCCGCTGTGGCAAAAGCTGCCGACTCCGCTGGGCCAACCACTTGCGCCCAAACCTCAAGAAAGGTGCCTTCACTCCAGAGGAAGAGCGCATCATCGTCGAGCTCCACGCCAAGATCGGCAACAAGTGGGCGCGCATGGCTGCTCAAGTATATGATGCTTTACCCTGTTGTTCATCTCTCTCTTAACATTAATGCGATATATGTGGGTTACCTTTGTCGGTTAGTTATTTTTAACGTTGGGATGTTTAATTTAACGTTTGTGAATCAGAATTTTCAGTAACCTCTCTCTAGCCCTTTGGAAGGATGTGAGAAACCTCGTCAGTGTGTAGCAAGGATCTTGGTTTGGTTCTCATGATGTTGAATCAGTTCAAGAACATACCATATAGTTTATGATTGTATAATGAGTGAGATTTTGCAAGTAGTTAGGCTGAATATGAAGTGCTCAAATCTTCCAAGCGAGTGTTCCTAAGATCACTTCTCGACTCCACATTACTGTCGCTTGATCAGTGGACTTAAAACAGTTGGTTATGGAGGCCGTCGTTCCTTCGCACTTATTGAGGGTAACAACGTCCATGTCTGCTGGAGAGGTTGTGAGGTGACATACATTTGTAGTAAAAGCGTGTAGCCTCATATACTATCACATCTATTGTTGGAGTCGAATAATGAACATTAATATATTCCCTTGTCAAACCAATAGCTCATTTACTCAAGTATATCATAGATCTCCAAAAGTTGCTAAAATTATCATCTGCATTTTTAGATCCAGTCTCCGCACGCAGCGTTCTAGTTAATTTCACTCACTAAATTGTTATACGTGCACAGGGTTAGCAATCTTAATGAGTGTAAAAATGCTTTCTCGACTTAGATTCTAACCCAACCCTTCAAGCTTGTACATTTTTTTTATGGCCGTTTCCTGGTGACTGTTGTGCAACAGCTTCCTGGACGAACCGACAATGAGATCAAGAATTATTGGAACACTCGGATAAAGCGTAGAATGCGAGCAGGGTTGCCAGTATACCCTGCAGATAAGTCTAAATCCAGCCCTACTCAATACTATGTGGAGCCGTCAGATGGAAGAAGCTTCATATCCGGAAAGGATGCAGATTGTGATTTTACTTCGAGCTTCGCGCAACCAGGTAGTCAGAATAATGAGATGAACTCTGATTTCCTCTGTGATACGCCCTGCTAGCTCGGTATCTGATACCATGCCAGTCTTTTCGGTGGTTGCAGGTGATCATCTACATAACCTTCACGTGAGCAATCCACGTGACAGTCGTTTGATGAGAAATTGTTTCTCTATAACTTCCATGAGCGAGCTTGCACCAAGCGCTACAACAAATCAAGGGACCAACCATGTATTGAACAAGAGCATGGGTAATCCCTTCGAACAAACTGAAGTCTTCAGGAACAGCCAGCACGGGAGGAGTGACGTCGGCAACGGATGTGTCTCTTTCGCACAGCTCGCTGATGGAGGAAACTTGAATTTTCAACCAGATTTCAATTCATCCAGCCAAGCTTGCGACCGAGGCATCACGACAAGAGTTGTTTTGCCAGGATTTGGAAATGAATCTGAACGGAACATGATGCTCTATGATCGAATATCTGCCTTCGGAAACCTGAATTTTCTTTACAAACCTCCAGTGTCAAATGCCAGCTTGAAACTTGAGCTCCCTTCATGCCAATCTGCGGAGTCTGCCGATAGTGTGGGCACGCAACGGTCTTCGATTACCAATCCAAGCCCTCTGATACCGTCCAACAACATTTTATCAGAAGCTGAGAGCTATGGCTCTAATGCAAGCAACTTTCTTGATGCCTTAATGCAGGTGAAATTTTGTTTTTTAAAATTTTCCTTCTCTCTCTCTTTTCTCTCCCTCTACCACATACATACAATCATTTCTGTCTTCTGTTTTGTCTCGTTATTTATTATTTATTATAATATTTTCAGATTGGTTTTTCAATTGTGAATTTCAACCCAAAAGATGGACTGTTTTTGTTGTGATATCCTTCAGTTGCACAGGTGTCGCTCTATTTGTGATCATCTCTCAATAACGATGCAAATTCGCTTTTCACAGGATGCACATCCCTCGGAAGAGCTTGAGCAGGTTCGTTTGAGCATGGACCTTATTGAACAGCTGATGGTTCACTCATCCGGAAACATAAATCCAGATGTCGCATCTCTACTTTTGAGCCCTCAAAAGAGTAGATGGGGCAAGGATAGTGATCCAACTACACCACTAGCGGGTCGGACCTTTTCTGATCACAGTGAAGAAGCGTCACCAATGTGCCAAACTGGTAACTGGGACGGACCACAAGCCAGCGCGATGCACTCATTTCAATGTGGTGGGTCAATTTATTTGAGTTTCGGATTTTTTGAGTTTTTAAAACTCATTTTCAGGCTTGCAACTTGTAATCCGCTTCAGCAAGATATTAATGAGATATATCTACTAATCGTGATTTATTGGAAGACAAGTAAGCTTGCCTGTAAAGACCGTTGGCAGCCATGAAAGATAAGAAGTTGGTCTGTCGAATTGAACAATTCAGATACTGGATTCGGTTCTTCATGTTGCACTTGCTTCATTTTGTAAGATGTTTAATCGAATTCGCTAGGTCTCTACGAGAACACTTGTATGTGTTGTACTGAAGTTGGAAGTGTTTTAGTCGCAAACTTTGGGGCTTTAGGCGATACAGTGCTTCTCAGACGACTGTCATAGATTACACATGATTGCTCTTGATGTTTCTGGATCTTTGATTGGTGTTTTTTCTAAAGTTGATGCTTAATGTTTTGTTTTTGCAGCTCCACAATCAGGTGCACCAAGAACTGAAGCTAACATGAGAGAGGGACTCCGTGGAGGGATACAACAGGCCTGCACTGATGAAGATTTTCTAACTCTGTTGGACTTAGCAAATTCTGACCCAGTTTCTGAATGGTATTCTCCAGCAGAATGTTTTTCTGCTGGAGGCCTTCCGTGCGCTCCTGTTCCGTGTGCTCCGCATGTTGATAACTTGGTTCCTATACCAAACTTTCAGATAAATGGAGGGTTGAACAGCCAGTCCAGTAATCAGAGTATCCCAAATTACGTTTGGGAGTTTGGTATGGGCACTTGGAATGCTGCATCGGTTGGTTGTCATCTAGGAGAATTCTCGTCTGTTGAGTACAGGCCCTAAGCCTCACTTGGAGATCAAAAACTTGATCGCCGTGCTACATGTTGAAGGGATCATTTTTCCATCGGAGTCTCTAGCGCATGTTCAAGGGTGACATATTTTTGGTTTGCTAGTCGCTGTACATTGTTTGCCATGCTAGTTATGTCCTTCATCAGAACCTGACAGCTGAGATCGTGCTGACGGAAAGTCGATTGTCTGTCCTTGCTACTTCTCTGGCGTTGCGTAGTACAATATTTTTGATTGTCAGCGCGTTTGCAGCTCAGGATGAACCACTAAGTTCAGAAGAGGCTTTATGTCGTGTCCATCCCGTTTTCAATATGTCCGTTTTTCCGTCTATATGTGTCTTTCGTTTGTGTACTGGCTTTTGTAATTTCCACTCTTGCAGCTGCTTGCCTGGAAAGTATCGTATCACTTACTGTGCTATACTTCAGGAAGTCGGAATAAGTGCACTGGCTTCTTGTTATACATTTTGAATAAAAGGCTAGCTATTCCCAAGCTTGGAGATTTGTATGTGCAATTTTCTGACCCCATGAGTGAACTGCTCCCGCATGGATGGATGTTTTGCTTGTGCGTCAACGAAATTGGAAGCTGGCTTATTGTATTCAAGGGTTAATTCAGAGTAAAAAGTCTACACAGTGTGGAAATCTAATTTTATATACATTTAGTTATACTGGTTATTTCGAAAACATTCTAAGCTTCAGATGTCGAAAGTCAACGGAGAGTTCACCTTCGGTAGATGGTCGAAATAGAGACTTGGATAGGCTCACTGTACGAATAGGCACAGTAGATATATTATATTCCACGTTACTGTACCAAATCGATTGTACTTACAAACTTCGTCTCTTATACTCCCAAGCTCTATTTACATTTTTCATATCCCTGTTTGTATATTTCATATATTCCTTACTTGCTCTCTAGCACCCCAGTTGACGCTTCTCATGAAGCTGCAAAATCAGACCATGCCGTGCTGTGCGAGAAGGGGTTGATGAGTCTCCTTGGCATTCTTGCCTGCATGTGAAACTCGCAGCGGTTAGTGACAATATCTTGAGAATTATTCAAACTTATCTCCCAAACACACAAAAGTTCAATCGAATAAATGGTTTTGAATCTGGTAAGAGATCAAGGAAACGAGAAGGTGTACCGAGGCGAGCCATGAAGGCGATGAGCACAAGGGAAATAGCGGTGAAAATCAGATCACCACCGATGAAGATTCCCAAAAGCTTGATCGATTCCTTGAACAGCCATGAGCTCAGAGCGAAGAGGACGAAAGCAAGGATGACCGACACAATCCCGCTGGTCAACACCGCAGGCCACGTCGCAATGGAACGCACTTGGCACGCCATCAACAGTTTGAGGATCCCCTGCGGAGTTTCCAAAGCCATACACAAATCACAAACTCAGTGGGTTACAAACACCTTCGCTAAAATTATACACAACATCCGCTAATTCAATCAGGGGAGCATCTGAAAGCACTCGTACGTGGATGAGGAACCAGGCGCAGATGATGAAGACGAGCATGGTGGAGTTGGGAACACGCTGGAACAGCATCCAGATTCCAACGCCCAAGTGCAGAGCTCCGAGGAGAAGGAAGGAGGTGGTGCCAGGCGCTCCGCAGATGAGGAAAAATTGAAGGAGGGTTGCTGCTCCACCCACCACCAACAACCACGCGATCAACTGATCCAGAGGCAAGCTCTTGAAGAAGAGGGGCACCAAAATAGCAACCAGACCCACGATGCCGAACACCACGCCATAGATGGTATAGTACAGGGACAGCCTCTCCAAGTGCTCTTCAGCCACCTGTGCAAAACAAAAAAAACCTATTCATGAATTCATGAGACAAAGTGAAATCTCGATCAGGGCATATAAATATTTCTTGAATGGTTTAGCCAGTGGCTCGGTGAGCTCCTTTTTGTGTCTTAATAGTGTGCAACAAGTCATGACGAAAACGATAAATTCGGTGGCCTCGAATGAAGTGACCGTGGGTGTAAAACCATGCCTGGCCGGTGAGAGGGTGAAGGGGAATGTTGATGAAATGTGTGCGCTGGTCTGGGATTGCGACCTCGCTCCCATCCGAGGCTTGGGTGCGCACTCCATCCGCCATGTTTCACCGCTTACGATCGACTTGTGTAATGGTTGTTGATTACGTGAGCTCTGTTTCCCAATTAAACCACCATCACCACCTGCACGATCAGTTCTCGAAAACATGACTGCCTGGCAAATTATTAACACCAGTACAAAGCAACGAAAACCAAAAAGTGGAATCATAGAAGAATAACTTCGCCGCACGATCCCTGTCCCACCGTAATTCCCGCACAGGGACCGCATCATTCATAACCCCCTCAGAGCATCTACCACCACCGCCACCCTACCTGCCGACACCCAGATCGGCACAAACACACGCAGTGCCCTGTTCCACTAATGAACCTCCTTCAAGCGGCGCAGAGAGCGCACAGAGCTCGCAAAGCCTGGCCTGGCATGGCTGCTGTTGCAACAGCAGAGCCTGGCGCATGAGCACGAACTGACAATCCCCTTTCGTCTCTCTCTCCTTCCTCAGCCTTCCCATCAGACGACACACCCTTTTTCTGACAGGAAAGAAACAAAAGACTTAAATTAGCTGCAGTGATGGCGGAGGCATCATGCACTGGTTTCGATTGATGGGCTTACGGTAGAGCACTGCTGCTGCTGCTACCGCACAGCTTGGTCGATCGATCGATCCAAAGAAGAGAAGGAGCCCTGCCAGGCGATGACGTTGCGTTGCGATGCGATGCGATGCGATGCGATTGCCGGTGATGTGCGCTTATACGACGTCGAAGCTCTCCTGCTCCACCGCCCCAGCACTGCATTAAACGGGAGCGAGCGGAGACGACGACGACGACGACGGGGGTGACGTGGAACGCCAACTGGCAGCACAATGTCCATGCAAAGGACACCTGGATGATGCCAGGTGGACTTGGAAGCGAAGGCTCGGGGGCTTTGGGGTTTGTTTATCTTTGATGCTCTGCCAGCGTGGACTCTGCCGGAGTTCGTATCATTCCCTTCATGTGCCACGTTTGCATGCCCCTTGTTATATTATTATTATTATTATTTATGATGCCTTTGGATGAGCGTGAGACATGGATGAGTTATGATAGTATCATCCATCTTCCACACTGGATGAAAGGATTGATGGATGTATGGATGGGTTGGCTGGCAGCTAGAATCAACATCCAAAAGGTTTTAGGATTTAGGGTTTAATGTTTCTTGAGTTACTTTTTTTCATGTGTTGTATTTTTTCTTATTTTAATTTTTCGATGATCATTTTTAGGACATTTTTTAATATTACTAAACTTATATTATAAAATTGTAGATACTACAAATACATATTGTATTTTTAAAAATAAAAAAGGATGATTTCAAAAAACAAAAATAAGTTTCTTGTTAAAAAAAGCCCTAATCTTACTTAGTTGCTAATGGTGAAAAGACAACAAAGAATTGATACAAATTATTAAGATTGTAGCTAAAGTTAAAAAGTCTGAGTATTTTGAAAGATCAATCAATATTAAATGAAAATATTTCTAAATGAAGTTAATCTATTTAAACATGTAGTTTTTAACTACAAATAAAAAAAGTTAATAGTAAAAATCATCTTACTATACATTTTTGTTTTGTGCAATTTTGTCAATTTCATGATTCTTATACTTAGTTACTTATTTTGTAAAATTCTTATTTTTTTAATAATTATTTAGAATTTAGAATTTTTTTTAATATTCCAAATTTATTACAAATTAAAAGCTTATATAACTAATGCTTTTAATATTAAATATTAACTATTTTAATTTTCATTTTCTTAATCAAATTGACAAATATATTCTTTATAATATAATATTTAATACTTATTATTCTATTTTAATTTTTAAAAATAAATTAATATTAAATATTAATATATATATTTTTTAAATGTCATTTTTCAAGGACATGAATCTCAAAGAAAGAAAATCCTCAATATGCTCTTGTATCATTGAAATGAACTAGAAAGTCATTCATAGATGATTTAATATTGAACTAGAATGGCTATTGCCAAAAACAAGAAGACTAGAAAGTCTTGAAATAAGACTAAAGTCTAAAAAGGTGTTGACAAGAATGAAGAAGGCTTCACTCTTGCCTCTATATATATTCTTAATTAAGAGCTACATGGCAATGTCCTATAAGATGTCTAAAACGTGTTGACTTTGCAATACACATATCTTAACTTTTAAAGCAAATTTTCTATATGTAGGCCATATAATTAGCTTGTTTTGTAAGCTACCAATATGTGGTTAACTTGTTGACCATGTTTTTAGCCTACAAATCAACTACAAATACATGTTAAATCAAAGCAACATTTATGAAGCTTTCAGGAATCTTTTCTATAAGGTATTATGAAATTAATCTATTTTTATCTATCTTTACCTATTCTAATTAATTATATAGGTATTTACTAGAGTATATATGTATATCAATGATATTATTTCCTCTTCTAGAGACAAGTTCCATCAGGAGTGGTCTATATATTGAAGAAATCCAAGATGTGGCAAATAATATTTGTCACATATTCTAATCTTTGTTCTCTTTGAAGATGGTTGATAGGTCCTCTCAACCATCGATAACATCCCATACCAAGGCGAGAAGACTATCCTATTATTTGATCATTATTGAAGCCTTCGTAACTTCTTTGAAATAAAGCATTTGAATCACTGTCAGAAGTTGTTCTTATCTTCAATAAAATCATCAAACATTGGAAGTCTCTTCTAAGGTCATGATACCAAACACGTTTTATCTTGCCATCTATTTGAAAAAAGATATGTTGTTCTTGAAGATCTTCATTTTGGTTACTTTGTCTTAAAGATTGTGACAATTATTATGTCTTTTTTGGTAAATTAGCAAATGAAAGTTCTTGAATTGAATCTGTTAGTTGTTGGTTCTCTATCTCTTTAGCATCACAAATACAAAAAAACTACAAAGAATGATAGAAGGTAAAATATTATCTTTCTTTGATTATGTTTCTTTTATTAACAAAGATTTGCTATTCTTCATCTTGGTTTTGATAATCATTATTGGCAAATGAAGGTATTTTTTGAATGGAAGAATATATCAAATTATTGTACACAAACTTTGTCAATGATAAAAAAGTTGTCTAATCATCTTGATGATAGTTGATGGTATACCTCAAGTACTACTTCAAAACTTGATTCACACATTCCGTTTCTCCATCAGTTTGAAGATGAAAAGCCAAAGAGACCTTTATATCTATTTTCAAAATCTTGAAAAGGATTCTCTAAAATCTTGATATAAATTGAGTCCCTCTATCAGATATAATATATTTAGGTAATTTGTGATAGCGATAGATGTTGTCAAAAAAAAGCTTAGCCATTTCTCTTCTTATAATAGATTTTGTATATAGTAGAAAATGTGCTATTTTGATAAAATAATCTACTATCACGAGTATAGAATCATATGAATTTGAGATTGAAAAATTTATGATAAAATCCATAGAAATAAAAGACCATGCTTATTTTGGAATAAGTAATGGCTAAAGAAGTCCATACGTCAATGGTCAGGAATTTCGGATCTTAAACAAATATTACATCATTATACAAAGTCTTTGATTGCCTTTCACATTTAAGGCTACCAAAATTCTCTTGATATTAGTTCCAAAGTCTTATTGTATCCAAAATGTTTGATTGTTCAAAAGTCATGACAAGTTTGAAGAATACGTAATAGTGCCCTACCTTCTAAAATATATAATTGTCTCTCAAAATAGAGTAGGTTATTCTTGAAGTCAAACTTGAAAGTTTCATGAGACTTAATAGAATTATTCTTGATATCATGGTAAAAAGATCAGAAGACATACTTAATTGAATTTTTTTGATAAAGATTGAATCAACAATAAATGTTGATTTTATTGCTTGAAGATAAAAATATTTTAGCTTCAAAAAAATTATTCTTTGTTAATCAAAAGATACATCTCTTTCTTTTGGTATAAAATAAGAATGTTTAGAAATGATGTTTGACAAATCTTGTTGTTTTTCAAGTAGATAAATAATCTTGAAATCAAATCTTGATAAAGACATGTTCCAATAAGCTTGGCAATGATTCAAAATATATGTTGACATGAAATATTCAACATTCTTATGATTTGTATATATGATGATTGGACTCAAGGTGCCTTTTAAATATTGATGCCATTCTTAAAATGAATTTATGATTGCAAGGAGCTCTTTGTCATGGATCTCATAATTAATCTCAACTATTGAAAATTTTGTGAAATAAAAAGCTATAAGATGGAGTTTGTCATTTGCTTCTATTTATAATAATTTTTCATTCAAGGCAAAATTTGATCCATCTATTTTCATAAAAATATCTTAGAAAAGTCAACATGATATAAGATTGGTAAAAAAATAAACTCTTTTTTTAAGTCATCAAACAATGCTTTGGTTTCTTTACTCCACTCAAGTTTGTCTTTACAAGTCAAATGTGTAAGTGGAGCTGCAACTTAAAAAACATTCTTGATGAAGATCTCATAGTAATTGGCAAAGCTCAAAAAACATTGCACGTCTCCTATTATTCTTAGAATCCTCTAATCTATGATAGTTTGAACCTTCTTTGGATCCATCATTAGCCCTTCATTGAAAATTATGTATCTTAGGAAGTCAACTTTTTAACTTATCATATAATCTTGCATCTCTAAGTTTTTGTAATATATGTCAAATATGAACTTCTTGCTTTTCTATAGTCTTAGAATATATTAAGATGTCTAAACAGTAGATAGAAAAATCATCCAGAAACTCACAAAAGTCATCATTTATTAGATATTGTAAGTAGGTGGTGCATTTGTGAGTCCAAAAGGTATGACATTATATTCAAAATGTCCATACTTGATTTGAAAAGTAATTTTTCATTCATCTCTTTTTTTAATGTGTACCAAATTATATACTCTTCATAGATCTACTTTTATATAGATCTTTGTTTGATTCAGTTGATCAAGAAGTCATAAAATTAAGGATAGAGGATATCTATTCTTGATAGTGATTTTGTTGAATCATTGATAGTCCACACACATCCACAAAGATCTATCTTTTTTCTTTGTAAATAAGATAGGAGCCTTGATTGGAGGTTTAGAATGACATATAAAATTCTTAGCAAAGTTTTTATTAATGTACTCTTTGAGTATAACCAACTTATTTTGTAATAGGTTGTAGATTGGTTTAAATGGTGGTTGAATTCTTTTGTGAAGATCAATAGAACAATCATAAGGATGATGCTTTAGAAGAATATTTGCATTTTTCTTTTCAAAAATGTCTTGAAAATCTTGATTCTAGTTAGAAATACCACTTGATATCATCTTGCCATCAAAAATGGGCGTGGCATATAAAGAAAAAGATAATCTTTCTTTTGCAACATACATAAAAGCTCTCGCATCTATGAGTAAGGATTTGGATATACTAGATTTATATATTTCTACTTGATTAACATAATTTTGGATTAAACTATCAAAAAAATTAAGATTACAAAAAATCTAATCTATTTGAGGATTATATTTTTTTAACCAAGATAATCCTAAAATAA